AGGTTACCACCTGGGAACCACAGGTTACCATTGCAAAGAACTTCCAGTTCCTAAAGATTGGAACTGATGGTTCCCAATGTGGGAACCAAAGGTTACCATGGCAAGGAACTGCCGGTTCCCAGACCTTGAAACTTACGGTTCTCAACCTGGGAACCAGAGGTTACCATTGCAAGGAATTGCCGGTTCCCAGAAGTTAGAATTTATGTTTTCGAAGCTAAGCGGCTATCATTGTAAGGAACTGCGGGTTCCCAAAGCTTGAAACTCATGGTTCCAAGCCTGAAAAGTAACGTTACCAGCGGAAGGGTCTGTTGATTGCAAAAAGTTAGAACTCATGGTTCTTCATGTTGTTTTGTTTTGTTTATTGAGCCGGTAACAGAACCTTTTGTTTTGCTTAATGGACCGGTAGTGGAATGTTTGCGTTTGGCTGTTGGACCGGCATAAATGTGTTTTTGCACGAAAAAGGTGCATGTCAAAATGATATGAAAGCAGTTTCTTTACAACTTTATGGTTTTGCTTAATGGACCGGTACAGAACGCTTTGTTTTGCTTAATGGACCGGTACCGGAATGTTTGCGTTTGGTTCATGGCAAGGAACTGCCGGTTCTCAAAGGTTGGAACTCCTGGTTCCCAACCTGGGAACCATGGGTTACCATTGCAAGCAACTGCCGGTTACCAGAGGTTGGAACTCATGCTTCCCAACCTGGGAACCATGGGTTACCATTGCAGGCAACTGCCGGTTACCAGAGGTTGGAACTCATGCTTCCCAACCTGGGAACCATAGGTTACCATTGCAAAGAACTTCCGGTTCCTAAAGGTTGGAACTGATGGTTGCCCAACCAAAGGTTACCATGGCAAGGAACTGCCGGTTCCCAGACCTTGAAACTTACGGTTCCCAACCTGGGAACCAGAGGTTACCATTGCAAGGAATTGCCGGTTCCCAGAAGTTAGAATTTATGTTTTCGAAGCTAAGCAACTATCATTGTAAGGAATTGCCGGTTGCGAAAGCTTGAACCTCATGGTTCCAAACCTGAAAAAGCATACGTTACCAGTGGAAGGATCTGTTGATTCCAAAAAGTTAGAACTCATGGTTCTTAATGTTGTTTTGTTTTGTTTACTGAGCCGAACCTTTTGTTTTGCTTAATGGACCGGTAGCGGAATGTTTGCATTTGGCTGTTGGGCCGGCATAAAAATGTTTTTGCACGAAAAAGGTGCATGTCAAAATGATATGAAAACAGTTTCTTTACAACTTTATGGTTTTGCTTAATGGACCGGTAAAGAACGCTTTGTTTTGCTTAGGCTTAATGGACCGGTACCGGAATGTTTGCGTTTGGTTCATGGCAAGGAACTGCCGGTTCCCAAAGGTTGGAACTCACTGTTGCCAACGTGGGAACCAAAGTTTACCATTGCAAGGAACTGCCGGTTCCCAGAGGTTGGAACTCCTGGTTCCCAACCTGGGAACCAAAGGTTACCATTGCAAGCAACTGCCGGTTCCCACCTGGGAACCACAGGTTACCATTGCAAAGAACTTCCAGTCCCTAAAGGTTGGAACTGATGGTTCCCAATGTGGGAACCAAAGGTTACCATGGCAAGGAACTGCCGGTTCCCAGACCTTGAAACTTACGGTTCCCAACCTGGGAACCAGAGGTTACCATTGCAAGGAATTGCCGGTTCCCAGAAGTTAGAATTTATGTTTTCGAAGCTAAGCGGCTTTCATTGTACGGAACTGCGGGTTCCCAAAGCTTGAAACTCATGGTTCCAAGCCTGAAAAAGTAACGTTACCAGTGGAAAGATCTGTTGATTGCAAAAAGTTAGAACTCATGGTTCTTAATGTTGTTTTGTTTACTGAGCCGGCAACAGAACCTTTTGTTTTGCTTAATGGACCGGTAGCGGAATGTTTGCATTTGGCTGTTGGGCCGGAATAAAAATGTTTTTGCACGAAAAAGGTGCATGTCAAAATGATATGAAAACAGTTTCTTTACAACTTTATGGTTTTGCTTAATGGACCGGTAAAGAACGCTTTGTTTTGCTTAATGGACCGGTACCGGAATGTTTGCGTTTGGTTCATGGCAAGGAACTGCCGGTTTCCAAAGGTTGGAACTCACGGTTGCCAACGTGGGAACCACAGGTTACCATTGCAAGGAACTGCCGGTTACCAGAGGTTGGGACTCATGCTTCCCAACCTGGGAACCATAGGTTACCATTGCAAAGAACTTCCGTTTCCTAAAGGTTGGAACTGATGGTTCCCAACGTGGGAACCAAAGGTTACCATGGCAAGGAACTGCCGGTTCCCAGACCTTGAAACTTACGGTTCCCAACCTGGGAACCAGAGGTTTCCATTGCAAGGAATTGCCGGTTCCCAGAAGTTAGAATTTATGTTTTCGAAGCTAAGCAACTATCATTGTAAGGAATTGCCGGTTGCGAAAGCTTGAAACTCATGGTTCCAAACCTGAAAAAGCATACGTTACCAGTGGAAGGATCTGTTGATTCCAAAAAGTTAGAACTCATGGTTCTTAATGTTGTTTTGTTTTGCTTACTGAGCCGGTAACAGAACCTTTTGTTTTGCTTAATGGACCGGTAGCGGAATGTTTGCGTTTGGCTGTTGGGCCGGCATAAAAATGTTTTTGCACCAAAAAGGTGCATGTTAAAATGATATGAAAACAGTTTCTTTACAATTTTATGGTTTTGCTTAATGGACCGGTACAGAACGCTTTGTTTTGCTAATGGACCGGTACCGGAATGTTTGCGTTTGGTTCATGGCAAGGAACTGCCAGTTCCCAAAGGTTGGAACTCACGGTTGCCAACGTGGGAACCCAAGGTTACCATTGCAAGGAACTGCCGGTTCCCACAGGTTAGAAGTCATGGTTCCCAACCTGGCAACCAGAGGTTACCATTGCAAGCAACTGCCGGTTACCAGAGGTTGGAATTCATGCTTCCCAACCTGGGAACCATAGGTTACCATTGCAAAGAACTTCCAGTTCCTTATTTCCTAAGCAAAACCAACTGCAACCAAACGAGAGTAAGTATACTCAAATAATTTTTTCGGCATATCTTCTGACATAGAAGGACATATATTCTGACCGCTTCGGCAAACAAAAATTTCAAAAATAAAAGTTGGATACGCAGGAGTCACTTGAGCTTCCACTCGGTCAGCACACTTTTTTGCTGCGCAAAGGGGTGGTCTCACATGTCGCACTGCCAAGCCAAAGGTGGAATCGGATACTGCACCCGCATTCACCCCCTTCCAAGCTCGTGCACTGTATCTTCAAACGACATTAAGACCACATCCCAAGCAACTGAGTCTTGGACAGCCCCACGCTGCAAAATGTCTTCAACATGTAAGCGCCTGGGGTCATCCGATGGATTCGAGTGCGATCCAACTCTCCCAAACCAAATTTTCCATTGAGAGTTGTCTTCAAGGTTGACAAACATTCTTACCATTGCGTTTCCAAGCTTGGTGGACGAATAGGCCTTTATCAAGGCAAGGCGGCTCGCCTCGTTGTCAATGTAAGCCACCACATATCTCGAGGAGTGCAGACCTCCCCATAGGAACACTGCAAGGTAGGCGGCCAAAAGTTCAATCAAATAAATTGGATTTTGGGCTTCTTCCATCAAATCTTGCAGCATCAACTTTGGAACGCGCTCGCTAAAAAACCTAAGTGGTTTCCCAGTATCATCACATAGAATGCCACCCACAGTTGCTAGCTCTTGTTCTGCTTCAAAAGCCCCGTCCGTGAAAACCAGCAAAGTTCGCTCTGTTGCAGCAGTGAGTTCCAAGGGAGACCCTGTGTTTATGCGGTCCTTTAAGAACAAGAGGGCTGCCTTGAGTTCAGCATCAAGTTTGGTGCTGCGCAAAGCAGGCTGGGCCAACGATCGCTTCCCTACACGGTGAATTGCCAAATTTGCCACCCGTCCAAACAGATAAGATTCGTACCATTGAATCCTCCCTTTGAGTGATTCCGCCTCCTTCGGAGTTAAAGTACCTTTCTCAAGAATCTCAGCCAAACGTCCCAATAACTCCTGGCGCCTCTCAGGCGTGTGTTTGATGAATATCTTTCCTTGCCCAAATTGTCGCAAATCAAAAATTAGGCCCAAGGCACGCATCTCTTCTCCAAATGGTTGGCACTTCTTCCCGGTTCGAGCGTACTCCACTCCCAGCAGGTCGAACAAAAGTCCAACACTCTTCTCCGTGTTGCCGGCCAAGGCATTAGTGGCCAATGTTGGGAAATCATCAAAGAAAGCACTGCACCAAATCTTGAGGCCAGTCGTCAAAATGAAGAATAAAGCCGCACTCACGCGAAGAAATCCAGCCACGCTACCTGTCGCCCCAAAGGGCAATGCATTGAGCCCGAACAACCTGGGTTTCTTTGCCCCAGGATCTTGGATCGCGATCCGCAAATGTTCTGTGTCTGTCTGGTGGATCGGGTATTGCTTGTATGCGGATTTCAAATCAAAGGTCTTCCCGCAAATCTCAAGGTTCGGCAGCCACACGCCTTGGGCCATCGCTCTGATAAGCGTGGCAGCAATGTAATCGATGCCGTGCAATACAAATTTCTCAGGTAAGCCGCAAGCATCGTTCAAACCACACTGCTTGAAGTTGTCAATGACGCGGACTTTGTCGCCCTGACGAATACCAAAACGATGGGCAATGATTTTGTCCTTTAAGGACCCAGGACCCACTGGTGTCCTCCCAGATCCAGCCACGCTCGTGTTCCAGTTGGGTTTCTTCCCAAGCCGCTGCATGTAAGGCCGCATCGTCTGGATCCGCGACTTGTTTCAGTACTGCATGTTGCAAATCTGTTGATGACTTCAGCAAGGCTTCCAAGGTAAGTTTTGGTGGCCTAGGTAGGCTTGTAAAAACCCTTGAATCCCTCATCCAACCTGACAGCTTGAACCCACCAATTATATCATCAAAAAGAGTCTTGTCGGGATAGTCCAATTCCAACAGAAGGTCCCTGAATAAAAGGAGCCGTTTCCCCTTCAGTACATGCCTAACGTGGTCGCTCAAGCTTGCCTGTAATTTGCGCTCATCTTCTGCCAAGTCTTGCGCCCGTTGGAGCCACTTGTTGAAAAATTTTGTTCCAGAATCCCGGTCCTTTCCCAGTCCAGGTTTGCTGACAATAGTTCATCCAATTGTGGCATTCCGCAGTATGGCAAGAACCTGGGATGCCCAACTGTTGCAGCTTCCTTTACAAAATCCCATGGTTCTCTTGGTATTCCAATTGTTATTAATTCCAGCGTCGTCGTGTCCACCAAATTGTTGATGTCGTCGCCCAGAAATTCAAAAGAAACATTATTTGAAAGGGAAACACGCAAATCACCCCACTTCAAAAGTTTCCTTGTCGTTATCCTTGCTCCTTTCAGTTGTTTGTCGACGATCTTGTCGGCGTTGAAATCAGGGTGTATGGCAAATTGGGCATAGCCACTGAATTCACTAACCAGTGGACGTAATTTCTGTCCTCTTGGCAATATGCCCATTGCCACTGAATTAACCGCTGTGTTGCGGTTTGTCTTGATTTGTTCAAGAAAAGTCTCTGTACGCACCAAACCACGTGTTTTTAAATCTTCAACTATTAATGCAGCGACCCTCTTGCAGAGTAAAGGCGGGTACTCTGCTTCCTCTTTGGTCGGGTAATAGACTCCATCTGCCGTGATGGAGGGGGACCATGGTTTGTGCGTGTGATCCCTTGTGCGTGGTAAATTGAATGAATTGAAGAAATCATCATTGCACCACCACGCTGTCTGTTTGTCGCGCTCGCCGCCCATCATGCAGCTATGGAGGTTGTTCATACAGCCTGGACAATATTGTAATAGGTCCACCATCGGGTCGGTCTTCCAAAAAAGGCTGTTGGTAGGGTTTTCAATGGAAACCCTAATGTTGAGTGAAAGCGCCAGCTTCACCAGTTTGTTGGTGGCCCAATACAATTTGTTTGCAAGTTCAACCTTCAGTGCATCCAGTCCACGCAAGTTTGGTAATCCCATTGGAAAGGCTTCTGATCGTAGCACTTGCGGTGGAGTAATTCCTTCCTGTGCCAGTTTGTCCAGTACTGCAGGTGCCAAACGCCTTTTCCTTGCCGCTGAACAAGTGCCGCAAGGTGGCGCAAAGTGTATTAAACAAATGTTGTCAGCCTCTTGTCGAATAAATTCTGCCAAAAATCGCACGTCTTCATCCACCGTCAAATCCAGGACTGTGATTGGACCTTTGGCCCTTCCAACCGTCTTATCCACTGCCACCCCCCTGAGATTAGCTCTTCTGATCTCAATGGTGAGATTCGAGGAACCTGCAAAGACTTCCAGCACCAACATGTTTTCAAACAGTTGTTTCCGAGTAGCCTTCTCTGTATGCTGCTCCTCTTCTGTGATACCAAGAGCATCATTTTCAGTGTGATTTTCACCTGAACTGTGCTCGTCTATTGAATTCAAATCTGTTGCATCTGCTGCTGCGGCAGGTGATTCTTGACTTTCCAGGGTCTTGAGTCAGTGGCTGCTTTGCTTCCCCGGTGCTGCCTTGCACGTCTGAAAAGAGTGCCCCACACGCCTGCAAAAGGAGCACATGTGGACCCCTTTGGTACATCTTGGTGGTTGCCCCGTTGTAGCCAGACTGCATCCGTTGCTCAAGTTGTAAGCCCAACAAATTGGCTTGCCGTCTGTTGTTGTCTGGTAACATGACTTGAGTTCTTCTGGCGGTGGCGGTGTTGCTCTGTTGCGCTTACCAGGACGCGCCTTCTTTTTTGGTCTGATCCCAGTCTGGTTTGCGTTGCTGGTTGGTGCTCCTATCGAAGACTTGTCTGAAACCACTGAGGACGAAGCTGGTGCCTTATGAGGCATAGACAGCATGTGCATTGTGACCCTTGGGTCACACATGAGTTTTTCAACTGCTGCATCCAGGAGTCTGTTCCCCGTGGCATCTGGTTTCACTGTTTCGATCTCCCTTGCCAAAATGGTCCACAACGCTTTGTCTGCAGAAATCAACTGGGACAACGTCACCCGGCTGAAATTTGTAGGTGGGTCTGAAGCATACACTGCAAACATGGATGTGAGCCACTTTTGTGAAATCGGCCAAGACAAAAGCTCACACATCTCCAGAGCTACACCCCTACGTTGCCAGCACCATTGTAGTTTGATTTCTGAACTGTGATCTGCATCTCCAAGCATCGCGCCTTCTGTGCTCACCTTGAGTGTCTGCGATTCGATTTTGAGAACCTGTTGGTTATCCTTTGGAGCAGCCTGGATCTCAAGTTCACGCTTTGTGCAAACTGAGGGTGCCAGCCAAACCACAGAATTAGTGTCAAACATCATCTGGCATTTGTCAACTAACGCATGCGATGGTTCAGTCTCGCCTTGAATCAAAAAGCCTTGAATTGCTGTCTTCACCTTGGCATACCTTGCCTGCTTTTCTGCAAAAGGCAGCTTTCTGACTCCATCAATGGTTTCACTGTTCACTGATGTCTTCAAATGTGACAACACCAAAGTTGCTGACTCAAAGTGCAGACGTCTTAGCAAGCTGCTCTGACCTGCCGTTGCACCGCCTCCTAACACTGAATCTGACAATGTTTTGAACTCCTCATCTGTAGGCGCCCGATTTGGAGTGCCACACGCAAATGCCAGTTCAGAGAAAGAACTAATGTTCTGAGCAGCCAACAAGTCGAACAATGAAGTTGTAGCTGTTGACAGCTCCACGCACCTTTGCCTAAAGGCTGCCTTCGAGTCAATGAGTGTCATGGCTTAAACTCTCAGGGTCAAAGACAGTATGGAACAGAGTGAAAAAACTGAACAAAAAGGTGCAAATGCGTTGACAAACCTTAGACGCCTGTTACACACTGGATTTCGTTTCATGTTTCTGTTTGAGTTTCAGTTTCGTTTCTCACGGTGGTATCGTCTCTCCAGCTTCGGTGTGATGGTTGAACCACTCACTTCTTGGAGCCGACATGCCAACCGGTGTTTATATTTTAAAAGGGTGTCTTTGACAATCGTTGGAAATACCACCCGATCGTGTCAGGTTAACTTCAAAATAAATCTATCCAACAAGGCTCTTTCAGCAACATGCCACAACCACATCTGGGTTCATGAGTGGATTTACCACCTCAACTGATGTGTTGTCTCGCAAGGCCTTCAGCTTTTTCCACCCAGCTGTCAGCTGTTGGTTCAATGACATGCAACCCTGTCACATCCTGTGCCTCTTGCACACATGACAAGTCGCCGAGTCATATCTAAGCTGTGTTGGCGTCATGTAATTGCTGTCAAGGAGTCTGCCGCAACACGTTCCACTCGGGTACCTATGGTCAACCAAGTGCAACGTCTTTGTGCGTTTGTTTTGCACAAACTTGAATCCTTCTGGTGCCTCCGGTGGATGAAACACTCTCATAGGTGCGGCTAGCTCCACACTCTCCGATTCACTCTCAGAGGATGAGCTCGTTACGTGCCCTTCCTCCAATTGTTGTTCTGGAGACAGAACGACCTTCTCGGCCTCATCTAACTTCTTGACTACTTCAACTGCCACATCGTGTCTCACGGTGGCATCGTCCGAAAAGTGTTCTGCACCCAAATCCTCTGATTCATCTGGCAAGAATTCTTTGTGAAACCGTCCAGCGCGACTTGCATCCGGGTAAAAATACCCAGTTTTGATCTCGACCAGCAATCTGTCTATCAACCTGATGCACCTTGCTTGAGCCTCCCTGGCATAGACATCTGCCATCCTGAAGGGGTGGATATGGTGTCCCATTGCCAGCCTGTCTTCATGTCTGAGTCCCCTCTTGGCTGCCATCGAGAGGAGTGTTGCTTTAAGGGAGTGCGATGAGATTTGTCTCTTGCTGTCTTTCCTACGGATTTCTTCTCCAAGTAAGAGTCGAAGCCACTTGCTGGCCTCATCGCTTTCCAAGGAACGTTGCAGCATCTGCCCATCGTCTCCAGGGGCTGGCATGAGCGACAAACCAACCACTCCATTTAGTGGGTCCATCCCAAGGTATCTCAAAGCTTCAAGCCAGTGCTCAATCCAGTTATGTCCAGCCATTCCAATTCCAGATACTACCAAATCCAAAAACTTGAATCTGTTTGCAGAGGCACGCATGGTTTTATGAATCTGCACTTCCATGTCGGCATACACTATCTGTCCATCCGTCTGGGTGTCTAGCCGTAAGCAGCTTCCGTGGATGAAGTCACTCCAGCGGGCTCTTGAATATATGCAAAACAAAGCTGAACCACAGAAAACCTTGTCCCAAACTTCACCGTGTTCTAAAACCCAGTGCAAACGCTTGACATCGGCCACTGTAAGGGGTTCTGCCTGTTTCACTTTGCCTGGCAACTCATCCACAACTGCTCCAAGGCACCGACGGCTGACTGTCAACTCATGCAACTCTGGAAGGTGAAATGAATACCTGCTAAACGTGACTGCCTCCAGAAGTGACTTGAGACTGCTAGTTGAATGACCGGCGCTTTTCAACGTCTTCAGAAACCTGTAAAAATCTGGCTCCGACAAAGGCCAAAAGTAACCCAACTGCTGCAACATGTTCTGCATGAAAATCAAACTGTTGGCACGTTTGACTAAAGTGGCAGGCGACTTACCTGTCAAGTAATCTCCAAGCAGTTCCAGACCCTCTGAGGACGTGTCACAGGCCAGTACTTCTTGTTTGCACGCCCAACTGTCAGGCCAATTGCACACTATTGCGTACCACTTCTTCAGGGCACGCTGCAATTCTGCTTCCCTTTTCTCTGTCCACATCAAGTCATGCCTACGTGAAACTGCAACCTGAAAAATCTGTTTGCCCCCAAGCGTTTGTGTTTTTCCAGAACTGTCACCCTTTGCAACTGGTTCATCATCCACATGTGACAGTTTCACAGATTTAAGCTTAGGCTCGAACGCAGGAAGTAAGGTGTCCATGATGTCACTGTCAGGGTTAAACAACCAAGACCACTCATCCGTCTCCCAGGGCAGTACGAAAGAACTGGCAGCAGTATTTCGCATGGCATTTGAAAGAAGATTTGAAAAGTTGAAATTTGTTCCATCTGGAAAGTCAACTCTCTGTGTAGAACTCTCAGGTGGTTCCAAAGCTTCTGACGGTGAAGGCACGACATCATTTGGACTTGCCGATGCGCCCAATGCCGCTTCAGATTGTCCAAAAAATTCTGGGAAGTCTCCAAAGTCCAAACCTTCAACATGCTCGATCATGTCACCAGTCGCCTCGTCAACCTCTCCAAGTTCCATTGCACGACCCCCCAGCTAAACCTTTTGAGGGGTCAACAATTTAAGATTCCCACCACCCACCACTTGAACCGAAAATACGTAGTGAAAAATTGAAAGTGATTTTCCGTGAGATGCCAGAGTTTCTGTTCGGTTTCACTCTTAGAAAAACTCACAAACAGAAACAATTAAAAATGAGTTTGGTTGCCAGTTGTTTAATTTGCCTTAATGACAAGGCAAATTTTTTGCTGTTGAAAATAAGGTTATTATCCTTTCAGGAGCAACAACTAAAGGTTGGAACTGATGGTTGCCAACGTGGGAACCAAAGCGCAGCACGCTGCACAGCACCCTGCACAGCACCCTGCACAGCACCCTGCACAGCACCCTGCACAGCACCTCTCACAGCACCCTTCACAGCACCCTGCACAGCACCTTTGCGAGACTTCGCCACCGCAGTCTGGATAGCACCCTGCACAGCACCCTGCACAGCACCTTTGCCAGACTTCGCCACCGCAGTCTGGACAGCACCCTGCACAGCACCCGGCCTGCACAGCACCCTGCACAGCACCCTGCACAGCACCTTTGCCAGACTTCGCCACTGCAGTCTGGACAGCACCCTGCACAGCACCCTGCACAGCACCTTGCACAGCACCCTGCACAGCACCTTTGCCAGACTTCGCCACCGCAGTCTGGACAACATCGCCACCGCAGTCTGGACAGCACCCTGCACAGCACCCTGCACAGCACCCTGCACAGCACCCTGCACAGCACCCTGCACAGCACCTTGCCAGACTTCGCCACCGCAATCTGTACAGCACCCTGCACAGCACCCTGCACAACACCCTGCCACCGCAGTCTGGACAGCACCCTGCACAGCACCCTGCACAGCACCTTGGCCAAAAGTTCGCCACCGAAGACCCCACCTTTGAGAAGTAAGAACCCCTATAGCTTGCCAGCTATCTGGGGAAAAACTTAAACCCTGCGCAGGGATTTGAGCATGTCAAAGGATATGCGGGATTGGCCGCGGGCAAACTAAGGGGTTGCAGCGAAAGGGGTTGCAACCCACCAAGCTATACCAAGCTTCTTTCTTCCCCGCAGCGGGACAATGCACTATAAAGTCTGGATCGCCCCAGCGGTATTGACCCCAAAAAAAACCAAACGGATAGGAATTGATAGCACGCTTGGGAACCCACTTTACGTGGGGCAGCATGCTCTTGTTCACCATCAGTTCTTTGATTTTTCGATTGTTTCCTGGATAGAAATATTCCTCCGCAAATGTGTGGTTTGTCCAGCCAACATCCATATGGTTGTAGCAAGCACTCTTTTGTTGTGGACTGTTTTTTGGCTGGCATCCTCCGAGGATTGCATTAAAGGCCCCCGTCTCGAACAAAGGAGCAAAACTGCCCATGTTCCATGAATCTTCCAAAATCTGGTGCGTGAATCGGCTGAACTTCCAAAGACTTTGAGCCAGATTCGCGGCCAGCGTATCGGCCGCCAACACAATGTCAGTGTCTTCCATTCCGTCCCAATGGATGAGATTTTTCAGAGAAAAGGACATGTTCATGATAACGGCATCTGAATCCATCCAAAAAATGTAGTCGCACCCAGTCGTGCCACTCTCTATCAAGTATTGTGTTGATCTAAATTTCCAAAAATGAATTTCATGTGATTTATCCGGCTCCGGTTGATCAGTATAGGTGTAGAGATCGTAGCCGTGGCGTCTGGCGTACTCCACCTGCAGTTCCAAGACTGGCATGGAGAAGCGTCCACCAACCATAAGGCACTGGAGGCACATATGGGGCGAAACTCCGGCTGTTGCAAATCGATGGACCACCCAGGGCGTGGTGTTCAGAGTCGCATTGGGAATGCTGGATGGATCCCGCCGTCCCATGGCCATGTGAGCGCTCGCAGGGGGGGCTGAGTGAGATATGGCAGGCCTCAACGGGGGTAAAGTTGCCGGGTGAGATACGGCAGTGCTCGCAGTGCTCGCAGTGCTCGCAGTGCTCGCAGTGCTCGCAGTGCTCGCAGTGCTCAGCGGGGATGAGGTGGATGAGGTGGATGAGGTGGATGAGGTGGATGAGGTGGATGAGGTGGATGAGGTGGATGAGGTTGTGTGAGAGACTGAAGTAACAGAAGTCAGAGGCCGAGAGACTGTCGAGCTGACCTCAAACATCCCCATCTTCGAAACCGAAACCGAATAAACTCCAACAGAGAACAGCAAGAACAGCAGGCAGCAAAGGAGCAGCGAACGCCAAGCGCAAACTGTTTGACAAAAGCTGGGCTGAAAATCCGTTTCCTGCTTCACCTGCTTCACCCCATCCTCGAGCAAACTTCCACCCTCAAGCTCCACAGGCAACTCCTGGGGAATTTGAGGAGAAATGATCCAAAACATAAATTTTAGACTATTTAGACTCTTTAGACTTTAGATTTCTTCCCAGGAGAAAGAAAAACACCAAGAGTTCTAGTTTTACACTTCGCTGCTTTCCACAGTCTCTGGATCAATCAAATAATGGGTCATGGTCTGGAAATTATTCAATGCTTCGCCTAACACATCACCATTTTGCTGGTCTGAAGAGCTCCAAATATGCGCCCCTTCATTATATTCCAATATTCCGCCCATCATTTCCAAGTTCATCACGCCTCGTCACCTTTCACGCCCGCACCAAGAACAGTCACATCGGCCGACATGGCATTGGCTGAAGTCACACGGGATCTCTGATTTTCTGTGGCACTCCCAAAATGTCAGACTCGACATATCCCAAGAACACATGCATATTCAAATTATTGTGTGCCTACAGATGCACAAGGCATAAATTTCTCCTCGGGTTTCGCTGCAACATGTGCTAGTTTTTCCTTGTTCAATCGGACACCTAGGCTGTGTTTCTTAGACCTTCCAACACGATTTTCCACGTCTAATCGTTTGCGTACTTTGCCACATCCAAAATAAGCCCAAAAAGTATCCCCAACAGCGAGAGGCAAAAACAGTTGCCAAACACGCAATGAGTGAAGTATGTGTATTGCCCCGCCCTTCTTACTCTAGAGGTCGGGCGTGCAAGGCGCAATCACAGCACAAACACTTTATGAAAAAACACGTTTCCAAAAGCGTTTGCAATACTCGTGCGAAGGGTTTTTCCCAAAGAACTGTTGTCCGTCTCAATCTTCACTTCATCTACCTAACATACATCATCCACATCTCTTATGTCCTTTACATCACCTACAGCTTCTATACCATCTTCTACAAAATCTTCTCTAGATCTACATCTACATCTACACCATCATCATCACCATCATCATCACCTACATCTGCCTCACCTACATTATCTACACCACCTACAGATTCTCCCATCAACTTCATCTATATGACATGCTTTATCTACGACACATACATTGCCTACATCTTCATCATCATCATTGTCATCATCTATCTATCTATCTATCTATCTATCTATCTTTCTTTCTTTCTTTCTATCTATCTCACCTACACCATCTACATCACCTACACAATATTTTTCCATCAACCTCATCTACATGACATACATCATCTACAACGCATACATGACCTACATTATCATCTATATCACTGCATCCTCTGCATCACCTACATCTTCAAACCTATCTAATCTTACATCACTTACAACATCATCCTCATCATCTACGACATAGACAACATCACCTACATCAGCTACAGGTGATCAACTTCTAGGGAACTCCTACAAAACTTGAAAAATGCCATTTACACAGGAGTTGACTTGCAGGTGATCCACTTCTACTTGAACTCCTACAAGACTCCTGCCTGCAAGGTCATTTGCACAGAAATTGTTACACAGGAGTTGCTACACAGGAGTTCAGCTAACTTCCAGGTGATCAAATTGTATCTGAACTCCTGCAAAATCAGACTTCTCCAATTCTTCTATTTCTCTGTGGCAGTAGGGACAGCCAGGCGGTGGCTTGCGAAACGTGACCCTCTGCGGCGCGTCGGGCACCCAAACGTGTAGCGAAATGCGGGTCTTGTACCTTCACAAATGGCTCGCGAGAACTTTGGATTGTGGAGACCCAGCAAACCGGCTACACACGATCCCGGGAGCCAGAGATCTTCTTCTTCACTATGAGTGGGAACTGGCCATGGTCCAAACGAACGGCTGATTACTGGAGGCACTGGTTTGGTGTACCCATCCGTCATGGTGGCAACCCTATGGAGGACTATTTCCCGCCTGCCTTTACTCAGACTCCCGCACCATCGTTGGCAGTCTTGGCAACTGAGATGCAAACTTTGCTCTCCTCGTCAACCACATTCGGGGATTCAATGCAGCTTCTGATTGAAGAGCAACGGGCAATCTTCCATGGGTCTTTGCGCATCTTGTCGACATCACATCGACTGAGCGGAATATTCCCTGACTGGCTTGTTTGTACCATAGTCATACGTTACTCGCTTCTTCCAAAAAGGAAACCCTGCTCTGGCAGGGTGTGTGTGTGTGTGGAACATCTGAATAGATGTAAAACTTCTTCTCCCTAATTTAGGTTTTGCAGGGGAGTGGTGAGCAATGAGGAAGTCACCACTCAACGAAGACGCTTCATCATTTGCTGTGATATGACGAAGGGATGCCTTTGTCACGTACCTGCTTTTCTCTCGGACATGGCAAGCGGCCAAGCCTAGAACCACAAAGCTGAATCTTTACTTCACGGTTGTCGCAATCTGGTATTTATTTTCTGTTATCAACATGGCGATCCTATTCAATTTTGGAGTCTGATTTCGACTACGTGTGACCATTTCGGAAGACCTACATCGTCTTCGAGAAGTACTACCAGGGGATCTACTTTAGGTCTTATTGTCTAGGCTGGTTTGCACGGTTCAAGGACTCAGTTCCTGATGGATCACTTAAAAGATCCACTCTTGTCTAGTGTGTGTATATAAAAACAACTTGCAACGTGCAATTCCCGTATTGTGTAGTACATAGATAAAGGGAGGGTGCCCACGGGTTTATCATCATTTTCTCGATTAACAGTATCTTTTTTGGGGGTTCCATAAATGGCGGTACCCCAAGCTCGCGGATGGTTTTTCCTGGAAAATCCCAATCTATAAATGGATGATAACTATGGGTTCCCCCCCCCCAATGACTTAGGAAATCTTCATTTTGGGCTATACCCATTGTCAGACCAAGCCCTACTAAACGGACATCTTTGGCACCCGTGGGTGCTGTGAAGGACGGCGTCTTGAGTGTCGCAAAGAGCTGCGAAAAAAAAAACGAACAGTGATTACTATACTCTATGTATGTATACATATATATATATATGGCAGAATGGGAATGTTCGGAAACATGTCCTTTTGGTAAAACCCTCTATTAATGACAAAGCCATCTATTAATCAACCAACCAATGGGAAAAGGACTTCTATCATCCCATCAGATACGAGTGCTGGTGAAAAGACCACAGTAAGCTGGTGAGCAAGGAAAAAACTTCGAAGAAGGGGAATTGAATCGACAAAAAATGCGGCAAATTTGTGGTTTTACCATCACACACGGGGACAAATTTGGATTTATCATGTTTCGGTCATCAAACATGGTGACTTGAGGCCCAGGGGGGGTGAACGAAAGCTAAATGGCAAATGAATGTGGAAGTCGGTGAGGCGAACTCGGAAACATGCAGGGAAGGGTAGACGAGAGGGAGCGACATGGAAGGACGCCAGAGTGTGTTGCAGAAGAAGTGTAAGTTTCAAGTTGCAGGGTGATAACATGTGAAGCATGGGTAGTGGAAAAAGTTAGAAGACGGTGTCGCTATAAAGTTTGGGCCCCAACGAAAACGATAATAGTCCATGGGGCTCAAATCGACACAGTGTCGACGTGTGTGAGAAAGAACGCTATGGAGCCTAAAGTGTGGTGAGGCAGCTGGCGCATGCGAACGACATGTAGGCGGCCGGTGGAAGCTGGAAAACATTAGAACCAAAGAAGATGGTGCCGCTAGAAAGTTTGGAACATGTGGAGCGAAGAAGATAGTGAGTCCATTATGAATGAAGGTTGGGCCCCATGGAAAATTATAATTTTCCATGGGGCTCAAATCGAGAGAGTGTTGACTGGAGGTCGTGGGCCCCAAGGGAAATTGTAATTTTGCATGGGGCTCAAATCGAGAGTCGTGTTCATGCGAAGAAGAAGTAGGCGGTTGTTGCAAGTCGGAAAACAGCAGAAGCAAAGAAGATAGCGTCTGTAGAAAGTTTGGAACATGTGGACCAAAGAAGAGGGTGACTTTATGATAAAGTTTGGGCCCCTTCGAAAAATATAATTTTCGATGGGGCTCAAATCGACACAGTGTCGACCTGAGTTAGAAAGAACGCCATGGAGCCCAAATTCTGGTGAGGCATCTTGCGGATGGGAACAACATGTAGGCGGCCGTTGCAACTTGGAAAACAGCAGAAGCAAAGAAGATGGCGTGTGTGGAAAGTTTGGAACATGTGGACCAAAGAAGATGGTGACTGTATGATAAAGTTTGGGCCCCATGGAAAATTATAATTTTCGATGGGGCTCAAATCGAGATAGTGTTGACCTGAGGTAGAAAGAACGTGATGGAGCCTAAATTTTGGTGCGGGGTTTTTTTTCATGCGAAGAAGAAGCAGGCGGTTGTTGCAAGTCGGAAAACATCAGAACCAAAGAAGATGGTGCCTCTAGAAAGTTTGGAACATGTGGAGCAAGGAAGAAGGTGACTTTATGATAAAGTTTGGGCCCCTTCGAAAAATATAATTTTCGATGGGGCTCAAATCGACACAGTGTCGACCTGAGTTAGAAAGAACGCCATGGAGCCCAAATTCTGGTCAGGCATCTTGCAAAGGAAAAAACATGTAGGCGGCCGTTGTAAGTTGGAAAACAGCAGAAGCAAAGAAGATGGCGTGTGTGGAAAGTTTGGAACCTGTGGACCAAAGAAGATGGTGACTGTATGATAAAGTTTGGGCTCCATGGAAAATTATAATTTTCGATGGGGCTCAAATCGAGATAGTGTTGATCTGAGGTAGAAAGAACGTGATGGAGCCTAAATTTTGGTGCGGGGTTTTGTTCATGCGAAGAAGAAGCAGGCGGTTGTTGCAAGTCGGAAAACATCAGAACCAAAGAAGATGGTGCCTCTAGAAAGTTTGGAACATGTGGAGCAAGGAAGAAGGTGACTTTATGATAAAGTTTGGGCCCCTTCGAAAAATATAATTTTCGATGGGGCTCAAATCGACACAGAGTTGACCTGAGTTAGAGAGAGCGCTATGGAGTTTGGATTTTGGTGAGGGATCTGGCACATGCGAACAATACGGAGGCGTTTGCTGCAAGTCGGAAAACATCAGAACTAAAGAAGATGGTGCCTCTAGAAAGTGTGGAACATGTGGAGCAAAGAAGAGGGTGACTTTATGATAAAGTTTGGGCCCCATCGAAAATTATAATTTTCCATGGGGCCCAAATCGACACAGTGTCGACCTGAGTTAGAAAGACCGCCATGGAGCCCAAATTCTGGTGAGGCATCATGCACATGCGAACAACATGTAGGCGGCCGCGCAAGTCGGAAAACAGAAAAACGAAAGAAGATAGTGCTTCCAGAAAGTTTGGAACAAGTGAACCAAAGAAGATGGTGACTCTATAAAGTTCGGGCCCCATCGAAAATTATAATTTTCGATGGGGCTCAAATCGACACAGCTTTGATCCGAAGCAAAAAGAAGGATATCGAGGAGATTGTTTTGGTGAGGCATCGTTGTATCCGGACAACGTGTACGCTTCTATGGAGGTCGTAAAACATGGAAATGAAAGAAGATGGCGTAGTTAGAAAGTTTGGGCCGCAGCTAAAGGTACACTTTTTCATGGGACTTAAATTGGTTGACCTGAAGCAGAAAGAACTGGAGGGATGCTGTTTGTGCCTTGCATGACAAAGGAGAAAAAAAAACAACACATCCTGAGCTAGAGATTTACAAAGGGACGGCCCTGGCAGGAGTCGATCCCGTGACCATCTGCTTCCGAGACTGCTTCAAAATGCTCCGGGGGCTTGGGGGGAGGGGGGGGGTTCAAGTGAAAAATCACGGTGTTGGACTCAGACCTGCCCCTCCCCTTGCTGAAGCAAGAGTTACTCAGCTAGCTACCGCTAGCTTTCGTGATAAAACCAACGGTCACCTCGCAACTCAATTCCAATCGCTACGCTATTCCCTCCAGTAGCCTAACGCCCCACTTGGAATCTACCTTTCCATCAGGAAGATCATCCACAAATTCACCGTGTTGAAAGACCTCTCATCATTCACCAGCTGCAACCCTGGCGCCCTGGCTACCTGCAAGCCTGACCTGGGTAAGTAGATCATCCGAATAGGTCTCGCGGGGAACCCTGGCTGCCATTTTCACCTACCCTTGGGGATGGTGAAAAAATCACCTGTAAAGATGGTGATTTTGGGGGTGGTTTATTTACCACATGGTCCCAGTTATCCTGATGGTAGTGGTGTGGATTCTTCGACAGTGAAATCCCAATTGCACAGGTATTTCGCTGACCCTAACAATCTGCTGGCTGGTTGCGGAGCCCACCATTCGCTTGTCCCAGTGGATCACAACCATAGTATATAAACCTACTAAAACTTCAATTGTCCAACTATTCAAAGTCGGAGAAACTGCATGATATACTTACGAAATGGGATGCATATCCAATAAGTATCTAGAAGTAGTGCCCCATTTTGCGATGATTCCTATCCTAATCATTGCAGTACGTGTATTTATTCCCCACCTGCCAGGTGAGGGTTGTTGGATTTTATCAGAGCTGTTCTCCTCCTCCTCCTCCGCTTCCACCTCCCCCGCCTCCACCTCCGCCTCCGCCTCCTCCCACCCGCCGCCTCCTCCTCGCAGTCCAGATCCCAGTGGGCACAGCCGGAGCTCCACCGCGAGCTCCAGATCCCAGTGGGCCACTGCCGGACCTCCACCGCGAGCTCCAGATCCCAGTGGGCACTGCCGGACCTCAACCGCGACTTCCAGGTCACAGTGGGCACTGCGCGACTTCCAGATCGCAGTGGGCACTGCCGGACCTCAACCGCGACTTCCAGATCGCAGTGGGCACTGCCGGACCTCAACCGCGACTTCCAGATCGCAGTGGGCACTGCCGGACCTCAACGGGAAGAATGAGAAAAGATGTCAGATAGAATGTCAGAAGATATGCCAGATAGAATGCCAGAAAGAATGTCAGAAAGAATGTCAGAAGATATGCCAGACAGAATGTCAGAAGATATGCCAGAAAGAATGTCAGAAGATATGTCAGATAGAATGTCAGAAGATATGCCAGATAGAATGCCAGAAAAAATGTCAGAAGATATGCCAGATAGAATGTCAGAAGGTATGCCAGGTAAAGTGCCAGAAAGTTTGCCAGATAGGATGCCAGAAGATTTGCCAGATAATATGCCAGAAGATATGCCAGATAGAATGCCAGATAGAATGCCAGAAGATGCCAGAACATATGCCAGAAGATATGCCAGGTAGAATGCCAGAAGATATGCCAGATAGAATGCCAGAAGATTATGCCAGATAGAATGCCAGAAGGTATGCCAGATAGAATGCCAGATAAAATGTCAGATAGAATGCCAGAAGATTTGCCAGTAACAAAATGTATAAATGTCATGGTGGGGATCACACGAAGTAAAGTAATTCAAAGGATTTTTGGTTGGCACCTGAGGTCGCGCCGTCATTTTCGGTGCCCCGTATGGCCCAGCATAGCTTTTCTGAATCGCAGACCGGATTTCCGGACGCGAAATCTCTTGGCTACATGGTATTTCCCAAAATAGGGAGACCCCCCGAATTATCCAAAATCAGATCATTTTAGCATGGAAACTCGTGGGTTTAGGATGTTTAGGATATCCCCCATTTTGGGAAATACTGATGTCATTAGCAACCATGGAATAATCTCCAACAATGATGGGAGGATGGTATGGAAAAGTGACCAAGACTGACAAAAAAAAAGCATTCCCAGTTGGTGATTCTTGCCACATGGGCCACATGGGCAACGACCGGCATGTCTCGAAATTGGGAATCTGTCATTTCTCCAGCAACTCAACAGAAAAACAATTTAGCATTAACATTGTTTATCCCACATTTTGAGACAAACCCGCATTTTTTGTACCAGATCTGATGGCAGATCTCAACCTATCTGTGATGTTGAGAACATGATGTTCAACGGGTCACGGCCCATGAACCAGAAGTAAAACATCGTGCCCAGAAGGCCATGATACCTGGCGCTTTCGTCAGGGCTTCGCGACGACCCTACCCCGGGGTACCCTGGGAATCGCTAACGGCGAAAACCACTCATGGGACAAAGAAAAAAAATAGGAAAACAAGCTGTTCAAGAATTAGTAACCAAAAAACCGGATCAGCCACAAATCACTAGCTATCCAGTCAATTGGCATGATCAGCCCGTTTCATCACATTTTGAGGGATGGAAGCCTAAAAAGCATGACATCACCACAGCCAAGCGGCAATCCCAGGGGCAGGACATTCTGGTGAATCCAATATTCAACGACCCAAACCATTCCCATGACACCATGGAAAGCCATCAGCCAACCGTCCGACGAATGCAGAATGAGGAAGGCGATGGAGGAGCTTGGAATCGTCAAAAGGGAACCCCAGAGATACCAACAGCTGTTCTTATCACCTTGGAACGTCGCCACATCACCATATGCTACGCACCAGGTGGATCATCCCACGTCACTGGGAACTGAGGTTAGTTTAGCCATAACTGGGATGACCCAGGGACCTTACTAAACAGGGTTCTGAACTAGCTACGACGTGTGGGATGAGCCTCCAAGTATCCTCCAAGTGAAAAGTTCGTGACCTGTGCATGTGAATTGTACCTCAAAACTCCAAAGTGAGTGTTGATGTCCAGTTCACCTAAAGGAAACAAGGACTTGGGGCCCATACATCAACCAAAAATCAGTTGCACAACTAAGTCACAAATAAACATGTCCAACTGGGCGTCTTCGTGTAAAAATCTGGGCTCCAACTCTCCAACTCACCGTTCCAACTCTCGACTCCCGTTGCGGCAAGCCGCAGCATACAGCTCTTGACTTGCCCAGAGAATCCAGCACTCCATCCTCGTCACTGCCAGTGAAGAACCAGTTCAAGTGCCGCATCAACATGGACTGCAACAGCACCTGGGGATCGAAAAATACAGCGGTTAAGAACGGGATTCACCATGGAGTATGATGATGATAATCCTATCAATAGCATAATAAGTATACTATCGTTATACGTATGTGTATATATATATATCATTATCATTATCATATGGTTGATTTGGATAATCTCGAATATATTAGATAGTATAGTCCCCTATCATAAGCAACAGCAGTTGTGGTTTATTGTTGTCGGAAGACCTCGGTAAAGCTCATGCCATAGTCATCCGCTTTTTGGGGTTGTTTTTAAGGCTTCCCAGATGGTAAATTTGATATAGATTGAGGACAATTAAAGATGATGGGAATTGTTTACAGCATTGGGTTTACCCAATTTATTCTCAACACCGCCAGATATGTTTGATTCAAATCAGCCTGCAATAAAAACTTAGACAGCCACCAAGGAGGAATCAAACAAGTCATTGCCAACACATGCTGCGTCAATGTTGGTAGTTCACCTCTATTGACGCTATGGACTGGTGGTTGCCAAGCAGCAGGAAAGCCCCTTCGGGTTGCCATTGAAAAGAGGGGTGTGGAAATCATGATCAATAGTACCAAAATTACCATGAATTCACCATTAAAGGGGTGGAAAAGCACTATGAAAACCAACCATTCATCCACCATTTGTCATTTGTTGTTTGTCATACCAGGCATGAAAACTAAAAACATTCATGAACCACGTGTCACTGAAGTTAACCATGCATCTAACAGTCAACTATGAAAATCAATCAGCTGGGCAAATTTAGCCATAATTCCCTAGCCAAAAATACGCACTACCAGAACCTTTCTTCAAAACTACGTAGTATTAACTGAAAGTTGATAAACCGGGTAGATTATTAATCCCCTCTAATTGAACAATTCAATCAACCATCCACTAGCCATCATTGATTGTACTCCATTTTTGCTTGACCCATACATACAATTCACCTTTGTAATTCTCGGATGGCAACTACCCTCTGGTAAAATTTCACATCACTATGGAAAATCACCATGTTCAATGGGTAAATCCACGAACTAAATGTGGGCCATTTTCAATAGCAAACTGTTGACATAACCAGAGGGTAAGTATCTTCTCCCCATGTTTTTTTCGGTGCGATTAACTCACTCAACTCGTGGATCAAAACTTGTTGATCCTGCTCCCTGACTTTCTGGCCTGTATGAAGACTCCCCAGAAAGGGTAGATCACCAGAACCAGCCAAAAGCGCCAATTCCTTAGACATTGCTTGGTGCATAAGGTGGTGCCCCCCACTGTGTTAGTTGATTTATAATTTTACCCATCTACCCGGCCTGGTTATGTCAACAGTTTGCTAACTTGAAAATACCACATTTAGTGGATTTACCCATTGAACATGGTGATTTTCCGTAATTATGTGAAAGTTTACCAGAGGGTAACTTTTTCATGCTTTATCCATCTAAAAAAAAAACAATGTGGGAAACCCTGCCACATAGCATTTGGGGATGCTGCTATAAAGCGCACCCATTGGACTCCTGCTTTTCAGGAAACAAAAATATCCCCCTGATTTTTTTTTTTATGTCTAGATTCCCCTGAAATTGTCTGGTGGTTTCCATGAACAAAACTTGGAAAGTTGAAAAATTCATCAGCAAACTCCAGGTCTCTGAACAGCAATGCTATGACCTTGCGTCACCGTTCCCACGCAAATGAAGACCATCGCCAGGATCGCGAAAATACTCGGACAAATAAAACCTGGGATGGGTTTCCTGGCTCATGGATGATCACAATTAGCCCACTTTTGCCCAGGGTAGTTTTAGCCCCGAAGAAAAATCCACCAACGAACTCATTGGCCGAAAAGAAAATGCCATGGAGGTTTTAAGGGATCAGAATCAACTCATTGACCATCAATCATGGACCGATCATCATGGAAAATTCCATGAAAAAAATGCATTTCTGGGCCTGGAAAAATGTAGAACACATATTTCCAATAGATTCCCCCTATCAAAAGTCACCAAGCAAATCCAGAAACTGTACTTCAGGTTCGGACAATCTATTCGAAGTCCCCAAAGGAATAGGACCCCTTTGCCATACCTGCCACAACAGTCTTGGGGCCACACGGCCAGCCGTGTTTTCTTCGGATTCGTCCAGAGTCTACGAATGTGGGTAAAAGAATGCCATAAAACGCACCATCCCCCAGGAAAATCACCATTTTTTCTTTGGGTGGTATGGTTACCATTCCCAGGAACATGGGTGCTACCCTCTGGTAATTTCTTACATAGCGAACTGGAAGCCATGGCCCAATCGAAATAGTGAGTTTTCCCATTAATAGCATGGTGGATCTTTCCATAGTTTTTTGTATGTCATTACCAGAAACATAACATGACATTGGTTTAGCCACAGCAAAAAACCCATGGCCAACCTGCCGTTGGCCATTCCCATCACAGCCATCGCCTTCGGCATTGGAAGATGGCCCACAGCAGCCACAGAACCACAGAGGTCGCAATGAAGACCACCGGAGGCTTCAGGGCTCGGCTGAGGAAAAGGACACCGGTGGTCACTGTGGCCAGAAATTCGAAACACCTCCGGTGGTTGTTTCTGAAACAAAGCAACCGCAGCCCCAAAGTGAAGCACCCCATATAGATGGTGAAGGTTTCATAAGCCCTTATTGAAACCCCTTCTTGTTGGGGGGATGGTTTACTTGGATGTGATGAAGGAATTCTAAATGGTTTATACTCCATATTTTTTATCCAGAAATGTGGGAACGTGTTCAGTTCTGCTAGGGCCATTGACCACGTACTCTGCGGTTGCTTCAATCCCCAGTTTGGCTTGATGCATATCCCAATCTCGATATCTATCCAATCTCCTCCCATTTGTTGTTCTCAAATCAAGTCACCATATAAGGATTTGTCCAAAAATGATATCATATATGCTTATCTTTATTCTCCGAAACATTGGATTTTTGTGGGTTCCGCAGTTTTCGACCCTCTCATCCCTTGTATACTGGCTCGTTGGTAGTAGTTCTCACATTCTTCGGAATGATCCTGAATAAACCAACTAGTCCAAACCCCTGGTGCTTCAAACCAAGTCTTCGATGCCTAAATCAACCAACTAATTTCATCACTTTTTCAAAATAAACAAGCAATAAATCAAACTTGGCAAAAATCACAAAGTGGATCAAAGTGGCAGGTCTTGGTATTGTCCTGGAAAATCCCCGTGGATTTTCCACATTTATGTTGGTTTACCCTAGGGTATAATATATAACTAAATAATCTATATATATATATACATCTATGTATGTATATTTAAGTGGTTTCCTAGAATGGGGGTACCTCAATAGCTGGATGGTTTATTTCATGGAAAATCCAAAAATAGAATGGATATGAATGGATGATCTGGAGGTAATTAGCTCTATTTTAGGAAACCCCAGGCAGACGCCCCAAGTCAAATATCAAGATCCCCACCGCTTTCCGGGATTTTCCAGCCAGCCATGTTTGATCACACCGGAGGGTATCCGTTTTTTCAAACACATCCAAATATCGGATTAGCAGCATATAATATATATATATCAGTAAATCTCCATTAAATCAATATCAAGTCACATTCTGAAAACAACTATTAATCCCTTAAATCCCACTCATATCTCCAGTAGATCCCATGAAATCTTCAGAAAATCCCATGAAAATCACCATGAAATTCCCATGAAATCCCCCGAAAATCGGAAAATCACCATGAAATTCCCATGAAATCCCATCTCCGATGCCACATCCACGGACAAAAACAAGGGTCCCGCCTTTCCCAGTCCTTCACCTTGGGCACCGCTGGAGCCTTAGCGAAGCCTCCCGCGTCACTTGGATCGGCATAGGCGGCACCAGGAGTGCTGGGAACCACATCGCGACCCATGGCGATGGCCGACAGAAACCCTGGGGAAATTCGTTGGAAATTAATGGTGATTTAATGGTGATTTAACCACTATAAACGGTGATTTATGAGGATTTATAGGGAATATAATTGGATATACCCTCTGGTAAACTAACAGTTTGCGAACTGGAAAATAGCCCATGTAGTTCGTTGATTTACCCATTGATAGCATGGTGATGTTCTATAGTTATGTTAGTTTACCAGAGGGTAATATATGTACTATCATGTATAGTGTATGGTGTTTATATGCTGTTTAACAAAAAACAGTATAAATATGTGTATATATATATATATACACTATCAACTGATATAATATATATGAACTATCATGAATATAGTCTAGTGTCAACATGTTTGTTTCAATAGATCTTAGATGATTCGTGATAAATATGATGTTTATAGATCTTGGAATCCAATGTGTATCGACAATCCGATCATCCCAAATTCAATATCTATCATGGGATGATACCTCAAAGAAAGCTTTCCAATGGTGTCTAGTGGAATTGACAGGAATGAAAAAAATCAGTTTGGGATGATTACCCTCTGGTGAACTAACAAAAAACTATGGAAAATCACCATTTTTCATGGGAAAATCCACTATAAATGGCCATTTTCCATTGCTATGTTAGTTCACCAGAGGGTAGTTCGAAATATGGTGCTTGGAATTTTTGTAATCCAAGACGTTTTCGCAACAGGATCGTCCCATCTACAGTTCGTTTGTTCATCATCCCATCAATTGGATTGGATAATGAGGTACATAAAAGATGGTTTAAAGCTTTATGAGATAATATCGCAGGATATATACTCAAAATGGGATAATGTAAACTGCAATTTTCTATAGTTGTGGGCGGATAATTGTATACTTGGATTGCGGATCATTGATTGAATTGGATGTAGTTGCTGTTATAGAATGCTTACCAATGTCATTGGAAACGGCATGTTGTTAAACTATTGTCAACAAATGTTTTTTCATCCCACTTTCAAAATGCAGATTGCCTGCAATTTGTGGTAAAACCAGAAGAAAATCTGAGCAATGGAAAAAGTTCCTCGTGGACAGCGACTTCATTCTAGCAACGACCCTCAACAATTTTCTCAACTCAGAACTTTCTCTGTGCAGAAAAAATGACAACGCGCAGAACAGTTGATCCAAAAAGTCGCCAACACAGAGATGGCTAGTGATGTCTGTCCAGTTTCAACGTCGCCATTATGGAGTAACCATCTCCCAGGACATTAAGATTCACAAGCGTCACCGCACTGTTTCGGAAAAACGGGAACTGCAACAAAAAGGTTGCAATTTTTGATTTTTTCCCTGTTTTCTTTGGTTTTTTTCCCTTTTTTGGGGTTTGATGGTTTTCATTGGTATTTGCAGCGTTCTGATTTGCATGGTGTTTGTTGCATTTGGAGTTTGGATCCCCCAGGCGCGTGATATTTTGAATACCAGGGATGATGAAAATGGTCACGAGATGAGCTAGAAGTTCAAGGGGGTAGGGAAATGGAAAAAATAAAACTTAGATAGGATTATGAAAACATACAAAATAATATCGGGGGCGGAATTAAGTTGGATTTTTTTTTTGTCGTCCAGGTTCCTTTCCTTGGTTTTTGCAGTTATTTTTTTTCAATTGCTGCATTTTGTAGCTAAAATCCCTCGTTCGCACTTTTCATCAATTTTTCCACTGGTTTCAGAATTTGTTCCATGGTTTTTATCGAGTTTTCCATGGTTTTCACTGATCTGTCCATGATTTTCATAATTTGTTCCATGGTTTTCTTCAATTGTTCCATGGTTTTCTTCAATTGTTCTATGGTTTTCTTTGATTGTTCCATGGTTTTCTTCCCTTTTTCACTGGTTTTCTTCAATTTTCTATGTTTTTCTTCAATGTATGTATGTTTTTCATTCAGTTTTCACTTGTTTTCATTGATTGTTCCAAAGTGTTCATTGATTTTTGCATGGTTTTCATCGTTTTTTTCCGAAGTGTTCATTGATTTTTGGAAATACACGCTGTGCAAACTATAAATTGTAGATGTATAGAGGTATACATGCATGACTAATCATGACTATATGTATATGTAGATCAGTGTATTTACACGTGTATTTAATGTATATATATTTTTTTATATGCAGGGTTTGGTTTAGGGTTTATTTAGGGTTGGTTTTATGGTTTCGTCTAGATTTGTTTAGGGTCTATTTAGGGTTGGTTTAAGGTTTCTTTAGGGTTGGTTTAGGGTCTGTTCAAGGTTTGTTTAGGGTTGGATTAGGGGTTATTTAGGGATACAACATGTTCATACAGACAACTATAACTATGTGTATGTGTATCCATGCAGATGTTTATTTACAGTTTATTTTGGGATGAAAACTGCATGTAAAAAAAAAAACATATGTATGTGTATATATATATATAAGTATGCATCCATATATGTATGTAAATATAAGTGTATATATATGTATATATATATAAAAACTAATGAAACTAGTGTATCAAAAAGTGTGCAAATTTAATTTATATATAAAAAAAAACGGGAAGGGGGGATTGGAAGCCCCTATTTTCACATGCAAAGTGCTGGGTTGAATGTGATACTCAAGGTGTATATGCTACACAACATGCACCCTGGAAACATGTGGAATGTAGGTTAAGGCACAACGATGCAGAATAGTTTCATTGGATGTTATCATCGTGTTGGTTGAAGATACAGTATCTTTACAAAAGGTTGTTGTACTGTAAATTTTGGTTTGCTTCAGGGTTGGCTGGGGGTTTGAACATCATCTCGATGACAATGCAAACCAGATAGATAGATAGATAGATAGATAGATGGATAGATGGATAGATGGATAGATGGATAGATGGATAGATGGATAGATAGATAGACAGATAGATAGATAGATAGATAGAGGTTTAGATATAGATATAGATATAGATATAGACAAAGATATAGATGTAGATGTGCATGTAGATATAGTTATAGACACAGATATAGACACGACCAGGTTCCCTTCCTTCCTTCCTTCCTTCCTTCCTTCCTTCCTCCAATCCTTCCTTGCTTGCTTCCTTCCTTCCTTCCTCCCTTCTTTCCTTCCTTCCTTTCTTCCTTCCTTCCTTCCACCAGAAAACGGCAAAAAAAACAAAAAGAAAAACGGTAAAAAAAAATAACCCTCAGTAACAAAATAGGCCAACTTATGTAGGGTGAAATGCAGCTGACAAACTATGACATGCGCACATTGCAGTTATCGATGGTATTTAGGTAGTACATGATGTAACATGGAGGATTTTTCAACTGGTTTTTGATGGTATGAACCTCCGCGTTGCCTAGTGGATGATGATTCAAAGAGCAGTCTAATGAACAATAAATGTGCCAGTAGCTCGATTGGGATGGGATCAACAAAACACGGAAACCAAAATAAACAAATGTTGGTGGTGAAGTGGTTGTTGGTTGCTCTGTGGGACGATGGCCACAGTGTAACATGGTGATTGGGATATGTCATGCCATAAGGCGCCAACACCCATCAAGTCTTGCCCCTTGAAACATCAGCAGACATTAAACTTGTGGTCGACAAACACGAAGGGCAGAACCGCGCCCAGAATCCACAACACATTTTCTCACACCAATCTGCTCAGCTCATGGGCGAACACGCATCCGGCTTTCGGAGTCCTCGGGAGCACTCTGAACCAATGCACAATTGTCCCACAGGAAAAAATCAGACATGCAACCCCAACGTGCGCAAAAT